CCGGCCAGCTCGGGGGTAGGGGGCAGCGGCCGCAGAGCGCTGGGCTGGAGGGCTGGGGAAGGCAGGACCCGGCTCGGGAACTCAGTAGTCTGCAGGGGGACGGGCACGGGGGAGGGGGCGTCTTTGAGCAGGACTCGAACACAGCAGAGACCTTCAGTCCAGATCAGCTGAACCTGGCAGCACTCGGCTCCCCCCAAGCGCATGTTATATACGAATCTATACATGCCTGACTGTATATTATATATAAATAAACTTTGCTTTAAGGAACTATAGGTTTCTTTTCTTCCCTCAAAACCAGAAAAGGGTCAGTCCAAAGCAGTAGAAAAGCCGGGGCTCCCCAGCTCTCACCTCTGTGCCCAAGGATATGGATCCACAGCGGCCGAGCACCGCCCGGCATGTCCCGCTGGCCTTCAGCAGTCTGGGAAAGGCCCACTGAACTGGATCACGCTCTGGCGCTCCTGGGGGAGCAGGTTCTCCTGGGGGGCCCCATTCAACGTCCTCAGCATGTCCTCCAGGATCTCTCTAAAGTTGATATTCCCGTCCTGTTGGACAAAATCCTCCTGGTGCTGCGGTGTCTGCAAGGGTCCCGGGTGCGGCAGGGGCAGGTGCTCAAGCAGCGGGGAGCTCAGGGGCAGGCTGCCCTCCAGGACGGGGGCCGGGCTCTTGAAGGCAGAAGGGTGGCTGAAGCTGAAGGGCAACCCGTGCTGCTGGGGCGGCTGGAGAATGGGCTCCGAGGCGAAGCACAAGGCGCTGTGCTCTGGGTTCATCACCACGTCGGGAATGCTGTCGGTGGGAGGGCTGTAGGTCAAGTCCAGGATTTCGTCCTGGCGCAGGGAGTGCCTGGGCGGGGGGACCCCGGGTCCCATCTGCGTGAGGTCGAGGGGCTGTGACAGGATGGGCAGCGGCAGGGAGAACTGCGGGCTCTGCTCTTGGGCCTGGAGGAGCCGGTTGTGCTTTCGCTTCACGTTCTCGTCCATCTGCTTCAGCTCCTCCAGCACCTTACGGACGCAGCTCTCGGGGATCTTTATCCCTAGGGGAGGAACGTGCATCAGTCCCCAAAGCACTTCGGGAAGGGACGGGGCACTGTGGGGACAGAGGGATGGGCAGCAGCACCGGGGCACGTCCGTCAAGCACAGGCCCAGCCCGCGTCGCCCCTCGGCCGGGCTGCGGAGCCAGGAGGGCGCCCAGAGCAAAAGCGGCTCCAGGGCAGGCTCGCGGCAGCACCGCTTCCCATGGGCACGGAGGGGACAGCTCAGGCCGGGCTCACGCCCTTGCCCGGGGCCCAAACTCACGCCAGGGTAGCCCCAGCTCCCCTCCTGCCCATGAGGTCACTTAAGCAGCGGGTGCTGGAAGCTGGGACACAGCCCTGTTTAGGAACGGAATTTTGGCCCTGGGCAGCTGGATCCCTTCTTCCTTCTCCTAAAACATCCTGCTCCCCCTCCCCACAGTTCACCCACCGACTTGTTTCCTCTTCTCCTTGGTCTTGAGGCGGACGATCTGCAGGTAGCTGGTGTTGGTGATGTCTGCCATGATGCTGGCGATCTTGCTCCAGACCCGCAGCAGGGCCCCGCACAGCATGTAGTAGTGGCGCAGGCGCATGCCCTGGAAGCACTCCTTCCCCTCCTGGATCAGCTTGCAGCTCTTGTTCCTGCAGATCCACGGGAGAAACCACCCGAATCAGCACAGGCTCCCGGGGCAGAGCAGGATCCCCCACCCGCAGCCCGCCCCTCCCCCCTGCCCCAGCCGGGGACCCTCCCCCCAGCACCAGCTCTCCCTCGGGGCGGGCAGGCCAGGCCAGGCCAGGCCAGGCCGGGGCTGCAGGTGCCTTACCAGACAGCGTGGTTGCACTTCTTCAAGGAGAAGTCGTAGCTGCTCTCCCAGTGCTCCTTGGCTTCCTCGGGCAGCACCTGCACAAGAAACACGCGGCGTTCGAGATTCTCCCCTGTCCAACAGGCAGCTGAGACCTGAAAGCCGGGGCTGGGGCTCCGAACAGCCGGGTGCCACCACCATCTCTGCCCAGGCCACAACAGGGCTACGAGGAGCTGTGAGGGGGTTACAGCAAACGTCCTTCCAAAGCCACCCCCGCCCAGAGAAAGAGGCTTTTCCCTCTCCCCGCACTGGAGGGCTGCAGCTCCCACCTACCCGCCGGTACTTCTTCTGCAGACTGTCCAGGCTCTCCGGCTGGCTTTGCTTCCCGATGTTTGGCTTGTAGAGGATGAAGTTCTTCCCGTGGCTCTGCTCTGCCAGCAGACAGGTGTGTTTGCAGCCTCGCATCTGGCGGGTAGAGCCGATCGTTACAGTCACAGCCTCTCCCCAAGCCCAGACTCCTCTAAACCAACCCCCTTCCTTCCAGGATGGAGGTTCTTGGAAGCATCTCCCAGGCCCCAGCAAGGGGTCAGACACAGACCTCTTACAGCCACGGCAGACCTTCTCCTGTCGGAGTCACCCTCCAAGCTGAGGTGCCACCCTGGCAGAGCCCAGGGACCTACCTTGTAGGAGAGGTAGAACCCATCGAAGGATCCTGTCAGTTTGAGCGACTTCTCATAAGCCTCCTCCCACTTCAAGCCTCTGTCAACACTGATCTAAACAGGGACAAACAGAGGGACCCGGTAACTTCAAGGGGCAGGACGAGTGCATGGGTGCCTGTCTCGCAAATCCCCCCCTCAACACAAACTCGGTGCTGCTGCAGCCTAGAAAGAGGCACTGCCAGGCTGCCCTCCTGGGTACGGGGGTCCCGCCCCGCCGGGGCAGGGCAGGGCCTCTCCTTGCCTCCCCTGTGTAACTCCCAGCACCAGTCACCCGCTCCTCACCAAGGCAGATGTGACACAAACGTGACACAAAGCCATGGGGCAAGGGGGAGGGAGCCAGCAGCTCACAGCCTCAGACTGGGAAAGACTGGAGCAGCCCGGACTGCAGAGATGGCTGTGCAGCCCGCCTACCTTATAGAACACGACCTGCCCATCCTGCGGGTGCCCAGGGGTCAGGAAGACCTCCTTGCTCTCCTCATAGATCTCATCCACTCCTGGGGCTAAATCTGCAGGAGGAGACAAGACCAAAACACATGCCAGCTCTAAGATTCATCTTCCCATACCACCTCCTCTCCCTGCAAGAGTCTCAGGAGCTGTGCTGGGTGGGGACACCGGGTGCCTGAGATGGCCGTGGAACCACCATCAGTCAGCACAGGGGGGAACAGGGAACCTCAGAGGTGCAGGAAGGAGAGGCCTGGCCACCCCTCTTTCTCCTTACCCAGGATGCCCATGTCGTATTTGCCCTCCTTCTTGTCCTTTTCAATCAGGTAGTCAAAGGTGTCAGAAAAATACTGGAAGAGCATGTTCTGCTTGTCCACCTCCAGACCCAGGATGCGGTTCAGGAACTTGGTGATGGAGCAGTCTGCAAGAGCACGGCGGGTCAGGGGACACGGAACCCACTAGCACGCTCCCAAAGAGCCACCCCCACGCCACCCGACGGCCCGTACCTTTCTCCACCGAGACTGTGCCATACTTCAGCTGATTGCAGCAGATCCCCACAGAGATGAGACCTTGCTTCATTTCTGGAACGGCAGAAAACAGCTCGGGCATTTTCGGGTTACGCCTCCCCCAGCTTTCCTGCAGGGCTGCTTCCCCTCCAGCTGAGTCTCTCCCAGACTTTTCCCCCCCTACGCCTGGCAGGGTGACGGGCGTCTGGGTGGCCAATCGCTCCGCTCACCAGTGAGCTCCCAAGCCAGCGGTACTGCTCCCTCTCTGCCCTTCTGCTTGGCTCTGCAGGCACCCCAAACCCAAGATCAACCCACCCAGCAAGACGCAGCTGAAACCCCGGAGCTGGTCATGTTCTCACCGTGGAAGAACGCGGCCTCCCCTCTGTCATAGCTCTTGGGCACAGGAACTCTGTTCTCCGTGTGGCTGAGGATAGTGGAGAGGACCCTGTCCAGCGCTTTAGCCCCGTACTGCGGAAGGAGACACGAGTCACGCACGGCACGAACCTGCGCTGGCAGCCCAGCGGTGGCCTGAGCGTGTTACAGCACTTCGGCTGGCACTGCAGGGACAGC